GTTTGTCTTAACTAAGTATTGAAATGACATGATATTCTGAATGAGATAAACATTCGCCATAATTAGTAAGATGGTACCACGACAGTAAAGAGTAAGTTGTTAAAAAATATAAGAAATAAAGACATGAGAAAACTTTCGCCGCTCTTTATCAATTCTCATATTCTACAGCAATTTTCAACCCTATTTGTAGCATCGCACAGATGCACAATCTCTAAACCAAACGCAACCCAATAATCCTTCAGACCCCTACAATTTCGCAGAAAAAGAAACAAAAATTTCTTTATTATTTACCTAGTGATTCGTGAATAATCGATTAAAGCGATCACCGTTAAGAATCAGTCTCAGATCGAGCAGTTCTTCTCCGTTTCAACAATCATCCCCCTTGGCCAGTTCGTTTCCGGTGGAAATCACGAACCATGTCTAGCCGTGTCTCGTTGTTCATGCGTGAAGCCTCCGATCGTGAAGCAAGGAACGATGTCAATCGTGCGAGAAACATCGAACCTTTTGTGTCCTGATCGATGAGTGCGTTTTCGTGTCCGGATCACTGTGGATCCGTGCTACTTCCGGTCGCGGCCATCGTCAACCGTTTCCACGTATAATCGACTATGCACGGTATGCTGCTCGTCTCACTTTCTCACTATCTATGGGTAAAAGTTACAAGAAGTGAGATATGGTGTAACAATTTTTTGAGATAAAGGAAGATGAGGGTTGATAAAGCCATGTTCTTCTTGTTGAAAGAGGTAAGATGGTTTGAGGAAGTAGAAGAATGTTGGTTGAGTGCAGGTCCGTGGATAAAATTGGTTCTACGTTATTAGGTTCCAGGCCCGTGAATCTGTGAAGAAAATAAGAATATTATTAGGTGAATAGCCATTGGGAAGAAATAGAAGAAAGATCTACAGCTAGGACTGTTTAAAGTTTAAAGAGACAGTTCATACCTATGTATAGTTTTCTTAAAACCAAATTGAGATCAGCAACAAACATTTGCAAACTATAATCTGATCTAGATCCGAAGAACTACGAAAAACAATAGGACCGGATTTTCTATAGCGTAGTAATGCGATCTTGAAAATGATAACAATAACACGTGAATTCGCGTTGATCGCTACGGTTAACGAATAGGACGATAACGATACATGGTTATCGACGATATGTTGGAACATATACCGGCGGCTGGCCGCCAGCACCCTTTCGAAATCGTGCCCTGGCCACGTGTCCGACGTGTCGCGCCCCCGTTGTTACTGCACGCCGTAGATCAGATAATTTTCGTACAAGCAGATACCCGGTGGAAGGGCGGGAACGTATACGCCATGACCTTGCATAAAGATCACGAGATAACATTGATATATTAATCGAATTTACTACTTATCCTGGGAATGTTATTAGCTCTACGAAATCTCTACGTGTTCATGGATATTGCTCTCTTTTAGTTTTGATTTAGAATTGTCATTATAGTATTGTTATTGTATGGCTAAATTTATGGAAACGAGTAGATTGGTTTTCCTAGCATTTGATATCTCTCTTGACAATTATTCTTTGGTTAAAATATTAATTTAAAGAGAAAAGATTGATCTATCTTTGATCTAAGCGCAATAACAAGCAAAGTATAATACAGTTGTGTCGCATAAAGATTAGCAGATAACGTTGAATTATTCATAAAAACAATCTGTTATTTTGGAAATGTTACTAGCTAGATGGGGCGTATAAAAGTTTATAGGTATTCTTCTTACCTAACTATGGTCTAGGATAATTTAGGATATTACTTTATCTAAGTTGGATTTAAAGTAATTTTAATCTCACGCTTACTCAAAATTCCACATTTAAATCTAACATCATTTCCAATCAGTGCACTTAACTGAAGCTACAAAGAAATAGACGTTGTTCTTACCACATCCTCTTATTTTACAGTGTTGAAAGATTTAAGTGGATAAATGCCCGCGAATCGGAGGTGAAAGACATTTAGTTGGAAATATTGGATTATTGTAAAGGCCCATTACAGAGTACAATTGAAAGCTCAATGTTCCCGTCATCTTGAACCTATGCCAAAGTCCCATGACCGCTGCACGCCAAACTTCCAGCTCTTGTATGCAACAATTTTCGTTCTGTTTTGCTTGAAAACCCTCCTCCTTTCTTTTTCGTTAACTTCTTCAGTCGCTATAAAGATGTCAGCATATCGATTCCAATTTAAATTTAATCACATCAAGAAGAACTAGCAATTTCCTCAATTTTCTCATCAAGTAGCAAATATAATAGATGCAATATTAAAAATAAAAAAGTATTACAAAACACTTTGCAATGTTGTCCACCGTAGAATGTCCAACAAACAGATTTATATTTTCCCTTTATGCTTAGACGATTTTGTCAAGCATTAAGCATGGACCTTAATTATCGTTTAGGTTTTTCATCCTAATATTTCTGCTTTGCGTTCACCGTCTATCGGGCTTTTACTGTGTATTAGATCTAAAATACCAACATAAAATATTCGAGCCAATAATATAGTATTATATTATGATATTAAAATTAATTACTTTCTTTTGTTCAATGAACTTTTCATTTTTCATTTCATCGTATTTAACATGGAAAATTCGGAGTAAAATAAATCCGGAGATCAATGAAAGATCCTCATCCGTATCTGTCTCTTTCCAGAAAAGTTAAAGGATATGCATTCAATACATTTCAACTTGTTTAAACAAAACATCCATCTGTGAGTGTATCCGTAACTATATCTTAAAAAATTGTATCTAATTAAATTTTCCTTTAGTTTCCTTTAAAAAATATTTAGAGGGCCATTCGAAGACATCCATGACCCAGAAAAGGTAACTGAAAGCCAAAACGCAACACCTCCGAAGATTGAGAAACTCTTAAGAGACTGATCACCCCAACGAAGACGTTATTCTAAATCCAAAGCATCCAAAAAAGAAAAAAAACAATAGATATATGATGGAAAAAGTGAAATTGAGCTCCTGACAAAGTGCAACAAACACAGTGATATACGCCAAACAAATATGAGAGACAAGGACGTACAACGTAGTAGTAGAAACAGGTCAGATAAGGACAGACGGAGAGAGAGAACGAGAGAGAGAAAGGGAGAGAGAGAGAGTGAGCGAGAGGGACAGGCAGGAAGGGAGAGGAAAGATCCACCCTGGTGGATGATCCCGCCTCTAAGGAGCCGCTTCATGCCAGAGCCGGGCACGAGGGGGTTAGCAACCAACCCTCCTACCTCCTCCACCGCCATCTCCACCCTCTCTCCCGGCGTCCCGGCGCAGGCTCCGATACACAGCCAATCGTCGGACCGCGACTGATAACGACGCTGCCAAATGTGCGTCCGTCGCATCGCGGCCGAGTTCGCCACGGTGGTCCACGCGTTTCTCGCAGCCTCGTTACATCCTCCGGGGTTGTAATCCGCTCGGATAGCCGGCTATCGGCCATCGTACGCCGGTTCATTTGGTTGTTAAGTCTGTTTCACCTGTCTGCTTTAGTTGAAGCTACGGCTTCCTTTGGATTTTATTTTATGTATCGTTGAATCTCTCTGCTATCATTCAATCCGCGTGTTCATCCAATGTTGCTGACTTCCTGGTTTGGTTCTCCTCGTTGAAGTTTTCTTCTCATTGAAGGATACTTGAAAGAGGAACGAGGTTTTAGTATTGGGTGAAGTATATATAGATCGTGGTTGGGATTTTATTGCAAGTGAGGAGGTGAAGGTTTGAGACTCGGTTTGAGCTACCTGGTGCGAAAGACGAACTGGATTTGACGGTGCTGGATAAGGCTACACGCAGGACCCCGCATTGACGGTGAGTTGGATCTCATTTTGGACTTTTCAGTTGATTGTGATTGCATATATTATTGTACCTATAATATGGAAACTGTAATATGAAAACAGCTTAGTAAACAATGTAGTAAGTAAGAGTTTGTAATATTTTTAACCAAAATAAGAGTACTATTTATGTAGTTTGAGAGTTAATGATTCTGTAGTTGTAATTGTATAAGAGTGATGTAATAAATAGTACAGTAAGTAAGGATGTTGTAGAAAATTGTAATAAATAGTATAGGAAATAAGAGCTTAAAACGACTCTGAAATAAATTCCCTGATAATTAGGAAGTCAATGACTCTACAATGACTGAGTTTTATCTGCCTGCTTTGCCTTGGAATTAGGCTTATTTTGACAATAAGAAAATTCCACATTAACATCATGAATAATCATCTTGTTGTAGCAAATACATTATACATTATAGTGTTAATTTCATAATAAAACATTTAAGTATGGAAAAAATAACACAATCCCGAACGCTAATAAACAATGTTCAATTGATATATAACGCATATAATGATTATTAAGTCTAAGTCAAATAGAATAGTTACAAGATTATGAGATTTGTATAAATCATTTTACCGTTACATTCATACATACAGCCAGACAGGGTGTAATATCGCTTCCACCATTCGTGAAAAATAACTACAATGATTTAGAGGCGTACAGTAGTGGAACTATCCGAACATTTATCGCCTCGTGGGCGAATTTCCGATAACCGCCGAATAAAAATCGGCACGTTTATTATTCCCGATTCTTTCCCACGGGTTTTACCGGTTCGCGTTTATGATATACACTGTGTACACCCTCGTGAACACCAGCCTCACCTGTCTGCACGCATGTTTCGCGTATTAACCGCTCCGGCGTGTATCTTCAACGCTAAATTACCGCCCACGTTCGCATTTTTCCTGCCGACTCTTTTATTGGCCCGCACTCTACATCACGTTGTTATTCATTTTTTTAACGCCTCGTAAATTCTACAAATCCTCCCCCATTTGTCTCTCTTGTATCATCGTTTTTTATTTCGTGTCATAATATCTCTTATGCAAGATTTCTTAACCCATTAAAGATCAATTAAGGCAACATTTCATTTACAATTTTTCGCGATCAATTTGCATCGTTGAATTTTCCTTAACATTCCGACTGTAAAAAGAAATTCTAAAAATCCACTTGATATTTTTTTCATTATTATTTCATATACCTAGATTCTACAATTTAAAGTTAAAATTAAAAATTTTAAGTTAGCCTTTAATTGGTTACATCCATTTTTGTCTTTGCTCTTCTTTTCTCTTTGCCGTTTAATTCGGAAATTTCTGTTGCACCAAGTAAGAAGAATTCAAGACTTACTCGAGTCTATCGTTAAATAGGTGTTCTTGTTTTCTGCGGGGTTCTGTTCACTGGTTATCGTTTGGCTCTATTTTCGTCGTTAAAGAATTCCTGTTTTTAGAGGAAGAGCGCCTCGTTCAGGTAATATCCATGTTTTCCTCGCTGTCCTCTCTTTTCATCGATGAACTTTGTCATGTATTAAGCATGGATCGTGATCATGGAAGTCGTTCCGGTTTTTATCGCTGTACTAGTATTTCTGCTTTCCTCGTCTGAAAAACGTCATTGCCCCTTGGACTTTGTATTTTGCATATTAGAAGAGAAATATCGAGATAGAATATGTATATCGAATCAAGCGCATAGCATTATGCCCTGGTATTAATATTAATTCTTTTCTTTTCTTTTTCTTGTTCACCTCCTGTTGTGCAATAAATGGCAGGCTTTTTGTGCGATTGTATTTAATATTATACAGCGAATCTCAGGATTAATTTTAAATGGTTACTAATTATCGTCAACTTTCTTTTATGTTTATTATGGAATCATAAGGAAGAATATATCTATAATTAAGGAAAATATTACTGCAAATCTTGAGATTCTATGTATTACTTCCATAAAATTAATGTGCAGTATAAACTCTATATCTTACCAAGTTCCAACAATTATGAATTATATATCTGTAAAAATCATATATATATGTATTAATTTCTTTTCATCTATATTGTCAACAAAACAGTACTTTACCTAACAGAAAGATCCAGAATTTTTCTTTCTTTTCAAACAAATTCAACATCCAACAACTATAAATCATATATCAAACCACAATAGGATATCAACCACCAGACATTACAAGCAACAAGGCAAATTCTGTTTAAAATAGAACAATTTGGCAATGTTCCTCCTTTGCAAAAGTGTCCAATCTTTAATAACCATAAATCAGACCTCAGTTTGATCCTAAGACTTCATTGAAAGATCAAATACCAATCTTATCTAGTCACCAAGAAGCCATCATGCAATTCTTTCTAATCCATCATTAGACAGCACCAACAACAACAAACAATCTATAAAAGTATGCTTTACCTAAAAAAGGACACAACCAAACATTCTCCATATTTAAACATAATCATTAATACAGAATCAAATACCAATCTTCAATAACAATACCATACTAATCACCAGAGTTACAAGAAATCAAGGAAACCGTCATGTAATTACCTGTTCATCGAAAGAGCGCTCAACCTAAAACAGAGCGAATCCAGCATCCGTCCTACGATTCCATTGCACACAAGCAAAACCAAACAGACCATCATCGAATCATCCGGTAAGAAAACGCAGCAAGGTAGACGCATGTATCGTTTTCTCCCTCTTTCGTATTGAAAGTACGCGCGGCCGCATCGTCCGCGACACAGTGCATTTAAATAGTGTGTGTAGGTACATGCGAGAGAGAGTTTAGACGAGGTAGGCAGAGGGGTTTCCGGCGAGCGTTAACAGAGTAACAGAGTGATGTAATGAGGCCCGGAAGCAGGCAATTTGCTGGCCGCGGCGGCCGCAGTTGCGCGAGACAACCTGCCCGGAGTACCTTCTTCTTGATATCAGGTCCAGCCTCTTCACCAACCGATATCCGACAATCCTGTGTCGCCACTGATCAATCCAGACGGCGCACGTGCCGTAACCATAGTGATCCCGCCAATCCTTTACGAAATCTTCGATCGAAAGATTGATCGGTCTATTGTTTACATCAAATACTTTAGTGAAATTTTACAACGTTTCTCCAACGATGATTCGTTGTTCCTGTGTTTCTCTTATCAAGTTCTGTCGTTGAAACACAGCGTCCTACAAATGTACAAGAGATTAGTGTGATACTGATTAGAGGTTAAGAAGATAGAAACACAAGCAGTCGAATGTGAGAAGAGTATGGTGCTCTAGCTACGTCTACGTTTAGAGAAGATTTATACATATCCAATGTATGTCGCTATTATTTTGGTGTGAAATATGTCAAATGATTCGTAAATCTGTGCCCTAGGACAAGTCTTACATTATTGTCGTCTGTTCGAGAACGAGCTCAATATTATTATACCAGAAACATAACATACACTATGTATTAATAGTATGTGTGCAATAACAATATATGCGTAATAGTGTATACTAATATAAAAATTTGTTTTTAACGAGAGGATATAGATATATACAGACAAATCATACGAATTTTCCTGGCATTAGTTACTATCTGATATTGAAAGTTCACTGGATAAAACTCCATGGAATTAACTAGTGTTATTCCTAAAACGTATAGTATACATATATATAGATAATATATGTATAATAGGACTATACGTATGATGATATATACTGCTATAAAAATCTGTTTTCAACGAGGAGATTTATAGTAGATGCATAATATTATATGCATATAGAAGGATCGTATGAATTTTCCTCATATCAATTGCTATTTAGTATTGAGGATTAACTGGATGGGACGCGGAAACCGTATACTTGCGGCCCGCCGGAGGTGCATCGTGATTATGTGACAGTTTTGTGAACGTGATTAAATTGACCTCGATACATTGTGGACATCCGTGCGGTGCGTTTAATTCCGAACTGTGTTTTCGCTGCTTTCCACTCAATTCATCGTTTTCGATGACACCAACGAATTTATAAAGAAAAAGAAAAAAACGATGTTTCGTGTAAAACCTGATTAGATCTGGAAGAAATCATCGTTTCAAGTTGGAGGAAAAAGAAAGAGATTCTATCTTTTTCTTTTCTTATCGAGAAGACGATCGATGGTCAGCGTGTACGGTGTGCAGCTCGCATTTTATCGTGGACATCGTCGCAGTGACAGCAGGTAAAACTCGCGTCCATTTTTCCTCTGGTCATTGTTCGTTTCCGGTTAGTCGAATAATTCACGTAACTCGTAGGAGGAAGTGACAGATGTCGTGGATACGTAGAGAACACAGAAAGAAGAATTTTGTTACTGGAAAAGATCTATATTTTTATATATACAAATAACTGTAAGAAGAAATATTATTTATCGTTTCCTCTTTGAAACTTCTTTATTATTTTTATTCTGCTTGATTTATGATAAAGATGTATGATTTATAACGATTACGATGTACATATACATAAAACAGAGGAAAAGGGATCGTGTTTGTGGAAGGAAGACATATTTTTGCACAGAGAAAATTGTAAGGAGAAATGTTATTTATTTTTTCTCTTTTTAAATGTCTTTTTTTAAATGTCTTTTTTTTAATTTTTGTTCGATTAATTTGAGATGGAGAGTGAAAATAACGTTCATGAAGATAACGATGCAAATGTCATTGTGGTATCACTTTCGGAATTCCGATGGAAGGCGATAAAGTTGGAGGCCGAGTCGATAAAATGTAGATCGGCCGGTAGATGCAACGCGGTAACCGCCTGCTCCTCTCTAAATTACGACAGATCGATTACGAGTTCCCGCTCGTTACGTGCACGTAATCTACCTCCAGTTAGCTGTTCGTTCGCGGCTATCTTCTCTGCCACCGGATTCTGAAGTCTCTCGGTGACTCTTCAAGATTTCCTATTCGTTGCAAGGTGTAAAGATATATTATATATTTTTGAATGTATTTTAATCTTCAAAAACTAAATTCACAATCTTTCAGAAAAATGATAACGTAGTGTGTAAATTATAAATCATAGTAACTCAATACAGACTTCCAAAATATAATGCTTCTTTAAGAAAAATATACTACATTACACAATTTTAATTACTTCCTTTTAATACGTTTGAAGTAGCATTTTCGAAGTCTCTATCCAATTATTTTGTAATTTTTAAATCATTGAATGCCGTAGAAATATAGTATGTAACTGCATTCCTTTTTACAAAGCTATGTTAGGTTTCAAAATTGACATTTAGTTGCGTTAAAATTTTCAAATTGCTGGAAAAATCTACAGTATATATTCTTTTCTCAATGCAACATTCAATTTTGGAAACCTGCATTGAGTTATCTTTAAAGTTCTAAATCGTTGGAAGATACAGAAATGTACTATATTCTTTTTAATATAATATTAGATTTAAGAAATTTGCATTAAGTTGCATCGATATTTTCAAACGTATAAAATCAATATATGTATCAATAATACAGTATATTGTTGTTTAGCAATGCTATCAAAAAACAGCATCTTTCTTAATGGATTAGGATGCGTTGATTGATTAATTGATCGAGATATCGTTCATGTTCGGAACGTCATTGCGGTGTCATGATCCGAGATAATCCGTAATGGATAGATCGTAGATATAGGATTTAGGTAACGATCTGTATAATCTATTAACAGACACCATTCTTGATGTGTAAGTTATCAATGATTCACGATGATTATCAAGCACAGAATTTCACTTAATTACTCGAGGATGATAGTTATTAATTAAAACAATGAAAAAAAGATACTTATTCGATGATTCATCTATCGAACAATTTAATCTACCGGTTAATACTCTTATTCTTCTGATGAAAAAATTTTCAATTATTCTTCACCGATGATCTTTCCAAGTGCTTTATGTATTCATATTTTTAATTACGTTTCTTGCGTGAGAAGACAAGTTCTGTGTAATAAGAGCACCAGCTGGTTTATAAGTAAGAAACTTTCATGCGCTCATGCTCGTTCGATTTAATTCGATCGTGACTTTACCGGATGCTTTGAGGGTCCTTTAATGATCCTTAACGACACTGCTTACTGTAATACACGAGTACTAGCGCGAACAGTCGCAGTAATCCATGCTCTGTCAATACCGTTGTCTATGGATTCTCTTCTTCCCTTTGTCATTCGTTTGCCAAATTGGAAGAGATAGAATCTATATGACAGAGTATATGTTATTGTCAGTGAGAAATATTTAGAAGTCAATGAGAATTTGTTTATGTCATTTTTTTATTATTTACGTTGCTTTTCTATTGTTCTTCTATTATTATATTGCTCTATCGCTCTTCTATTATTATATATATATATTGCTCTTTATTATATATATTATATATATTTATTATTATTATATATTTATTATATATTATATATATATATAGCTCTTCTATTATTTACGTTCTTCAATTCTCTTATAATACTCTTCGTCATTTGTCTCATCTGTTAATACAATATAACATAGATTTTACAATATTATATTCATATGCCTTTATTTCTCATCTTGATGAAAATGATACTTCAGAATATCTGATGGTAAAGCGACACTTTGTCGTATAAGAATAACAGAGAGCGAAGAACGACGTGGCGTAAATCTGTGTTTCATAAAAATTCGATTACACTTTGATTGACTTTTTTTGATTGATTTTTCAAATTAACACACAACCAGAGAATAAAGTTATAATTTCATTAATCTGATCAAATAAAGTTAAAAGGAGAATTCGATTAATTTTTCAGGGGCTCTTTGGTGATGTACGACAGCGCTAGCTGTTCGTACGCAGGTGCGCTCGAATTAAAGGGAGCCTCCGGGGCCGGAGCCGCGGCC